TCTACTGCCATACACTCTTTATCTATCAAGGTGCTCACACAAACGAGTGCATAACCTATTCTCTACAATGTTCTTATATATGTGTGCAATACTCAAAGATACACACATACTTACGCTTTCATGACTTCTTTCCTTCCGACTTCCTCTGCTTTCATGACCATCCGCGGCCTAGCTCATCGAGCGCAAGTTTTTCACTTCTATCGGGGCAATATCTTCTAATTCATCCACCAACATTTCTTTGATCTCACATCACCTCATCCCATCGCATGTCTCCCTCCACATTTACAGCTCCTTGGTGTACACAAATTCCAAATTTCAGAAATCCGACACCTCTCGATCCTTCTCAGACAGCCACGACACTCAAGCGACAGATTCAAGAAGAAGATAGGTTCCAAGATGGTCGAAGATGTTGCCCGTGAGTGCAAGCATCATAGCCTCTCGAGAAATTTAAACGTAGTGCTTCACTATCATTCCGTGAGCTTCGAGCTTCGAACTGCTCCACGCGATAGTAAACCTCCGCTACAATCTTCAGTAATGACATGGCAAGATAGTTGTATGTACTCTTCAACCGTATGATTGATACATACGAAAACTACGAACGCAGATAGATAGCAAGAAAGGTACATAAGCTCTTCTGACAGTGGCCCAAGTTGATTGTTTGAAGATGAGCCAAAATCACCGGTGATAACTTCATCGCCTTTTGTGTGCTTCGATGCTGAAAACACTAATGCTATCTAGCTTTATTAAAAGATTTCAAGAAACCAGTCCCTGAACAAATGTAGAGTGAATATGCACACTTCGAGTACTGTAAACACCATGATGCAGATATCACTTTAGCCGATGGCTCTCTTCACACCGTTCTCTTGCAGTCTGGTGACCAATAAATGACATGAAAGATTCAATCATCTGCTCCGACATCGGCACAGTGGAGCAAGAAATACGCATTGACCCTCAGGATAAAAAGAGATATAGTTCCAGTCTGCCAACACCGAGGATGAAAGGCCCCAATCAGTTAAACAAATTAGGCTTGATTACTTGCTATATCAGGCATTTCCAGTGCAATGATTACTTTGTAGAAGTTGTCGGATAAGACTCATGGCTCAAAGAAGAGTCACACCGAACGAAGAGCTCCCAGTTTGATAACCTGAACAGTACCTATATTATGTAGATATTTGTACTTCAGAAGATCCATGCACAAATCGATAATTGGGTGTGTTAAGGAAAGGTTATGCGATGGCCTTGAGCCGAAACACGAGTCTGGCGGTGGAGAAGATCTTTGTCGTCCGAGAAGATTTCTGTCTTGGTATCCTTTGCAGGTTATCGAGCATGTGAAACTCGCAGACTGCGTCTTCTGTTTATTGCTCTATACTAAACAAAGCTCTTAAGTCCCGTAAACTTGAATTTGTAGTCGGATATTCACTCTCTATATTCGTTTCATGGAGAGTGTGAAAACATCGAAGCATCCACCAAAACATCAAACACTTGTCCGTGCAGTCCGTACTTGTCTGATGAAAATGATTCTCGTAGAGTGAGTCGCGCAACTACGATGTTTTTGTGGAAGAACTCACTCATGTGCATTCTTGTTTGAAGACCATGAGATGACCAAGGAGACGACGAGGTTAGATAATCTGACGCGATGGCACCATTTGCTCAAAAGTGGAGGTCTTTGAGCACAGAGAGAATCAAAACTGGAACACTAACTGAGAGAGAAACGAGGAAAATACTTTGCACGAACAAAACCACAAAAAGAAAATCGAGAAAAACACAAACGAGAATCTAAACATAAGGACAAAATCACGAACAGAAATCCAAAAAAAACACAAGCAAAAATCTGAACACACTTTAGTGACATATTCACTCTACACGCAGTTCTTAGAGTGAAATCTGATATGCAAAATAACACAAAAGTACACATGGTAGTCGAGCCAAACTCACTCCAATCTGATACGTAAAGTCGAAGCTAGCGGGAATTGACATATCCCTACGTGAAAAGCTCAACTAGAAGAATTGACAGTTCTTCGAGCTCGCCTCGACTATACTCTCGATCGAGAGTCGTCCCAACTCAATGTCATACTCAAACTCAAATCTAACTCAACAAGTTCTAACGTCATCTAACTCAAACTTAAATCTATCTCAACGCGTACTAATGTCATCTAACTCAAACTCAAATCTATCTCAACGCGTACTAATGTCATCTAACTCAAACTTGAATCTAATGTGCATACACATGACAATGTAAAAAGAAGATAGGCATAATTTCCAGAAAAGAAATAAATTTAAAGAGATACGTTGATAAATAAATTTAATTTGTCATTAAATTTAAGAATCCATGGACAAATCTAAGGTTGTTTTAAATGAAAATTTTAAACAGATAATTCTAGTTAATGGAATAATCTTGATTTTGATGATTTAAGTCTCAAGTCTTTGAAAGAAAAAAAATAAAAGATCATCACAATTTCAGTAATCAAATGTCAAACTTAACTGTTACTATTTACAATTCTGTTTTTACATTTATTTAAAATAAGAATTTCAAGTGTGGTAGAAAGACTCAAGAGAATAATGAAAAATGAGTAATGAAAGAGCTTTCACACCACGGAATTGCAATGAGAGTGCATCCCCATTTCCAAGACAAATCCATTTTAAACGCTTATATAAATAAAAATTCAAATTTGTATAATAATGCATTACACTCACGAGATTTGGGCGTCCTGCGTTATACTCACGAAATTTTGGCGCTGAATATTACACCCAACTCTAATCCTACAGGTAATCACAAACTATATCAACACTAACCACAAAGGTACGATTCTTACCTTTGTGCTATATAGAGAGCTATCGTGTTCTTTCATATCCGAAATTGTTCTAGTAATTGTGGATGTTGTGGCAAATTTCAACTTCTCAGAACATTTTCAGTACGTCGGCTCCCTCAGGTCATTACACATGATTAATCTCTCGACCTCACAACGTGGACGGTTCTTTCTCACGTCAACACCCTTCTGCTCTTGCTCTTTATCTGTATCAAATTAGAATTCCAAGTTTAAGAAAAAGCTCTGAGTTTAACAACTAATAACTATCTACACCGTAGAGCTCATGTGCTTTACTACTAAACTGGAATATCAATCTTCTTTAGTACTGATGAGATGTAATCGACCATCGGCGAGGGAACAACAAATGAACTGTACGTCAAATCTGCAGATCCATATTCCAGAAGGCTACAGAGTATCATGTGCAGGATGGCAGATTACACTAATAGTCGATAAGAAGTCACTTCGTGATGTAATTCTCATAAATTCCCCAATTCCCACCACAATCTTTGATAGTTCAGAAAATCCATCCACTTTGAAGTAAACATCAGCGTCACTACCGCTCGTAATTGGACCACCAGCAAAGACTCAAAGTCAGGCAGACATTCAACGGCATTTCCCCACCACGCTTGCTAGTTTTAGTGCATACTTTCAAACGAGGGGATATTTGTGCCACAGTGCTAAATGACAAAGTGTAAACTGAACCACAATAGACACACTTGTTGGTGGTTCATACCTGGCTGATTATATCCGAATCTCTTTACCTTTTAATCTGTAAACTTTTCACCTTACATGCTTCTTCCATTCTAAATTCATATCATCATCTTGAGCTTGAACTTTATCTTCAGTAGATCAAAACAACTAGTAAACTCAGAAGACAAACTTTTACTGTGAAAACGTCAATTAAGATCATATACGCTTTTCATCACTCTACCACAAACGGTCGCTTTCGATTACCTGGAGTGAAGTAGACTGCTGAACATCAAAAGGCTGATGCAATTCCAGCAGATTTCTAATTTCATGTCCAGCCCATCGGAGAGTAGTGGCAAAACAATGACGCATTTTGGGGTTCAGATGAAGATCAAATGAAGATCGTTCAACAACTAGTTCGTGGTGACAAATATCTGAAAATACTGTGACTTGAAAGCATGGTGGACACCTTCAAGTAACGGTAATGTATTACCTTGCGCAGCACTTTGCCTTTCATTCGAACCCTACGAAGTTGCTAGCCTAACTATAATGGCCATATTTTGCGCAGATCACAGTCACCGATCTGCGACTTACCACCGCAGCCCCTTACAGTAACAAAGAACCTACCCTCTCCACGAGCACGTCCACCTATTCACTGCAGGATTAATTCCGGCAAATATTAGAGTTCAGATTGTCACTTTCAGTCAACACCAGCTAGTGGTAAACTGAGCACTGCGTGCTGAACATCATTGTGCTTCATCAAATTTCATCGGGAAGCCGCAAAACAAAGCTAGTTCAGATGCACCGGCACATAGATCCGAAGGTGATTGATACTTTATACGGGAGAAAAGACCGTAACATCTGATATCTATGAATGTGACAAGAACCCCTACTGGCATAAGAGGTAATAAAGACATACCTGAAAACCTAAGTATCCAGAAAACATTTCCCACCTCTTCTACAAGTGATACAAGCCTACCTTTCCCGCTCACAAGTGACATTACCTCTCAGATTGCACTACGATGACCATCACGTACCGCATGAAGGAACGCCCTTCATGCGGTACGAGATGTTCATTACCTTCGAAATATTGTCCACAACAACCATTTCACTCGACCTTTGTCACTTTAAATTTAAAACAAACGCATCCTCCAAATTCTCAAAAATCCAAACGGGGATGACTGTGGACCGAACTGCGCGATTAGATCCAAGTTTCTATTACAGTCGGCACATCGTGTTTTGCAAAGACATACTTCTTTGTCTAAACAATATCGTATATGTACTTCACCGAAATATTGGGCAGTGTTTTCTCAGTGAAGATAAACCAGTGATGTGCCGTGCGTACGGGAACAGAACAAAAGGCTTAAATCTACTCGTGAGTAAAACTCAACGAAAGGTCCATCTCGTACAGAAGGTAACTACTGGAGTTCCTCGTGAAACAGTCCAACTAAGTATACACACTAATCATTAGAATCGAGGTAGACAGAAACTGAATAGTAAACGAGAGACTTGCAAATCCCACTCCGCAATTTTGAAATTAGAGACTGACAGCCGACAAAACAAGGCTGAAATCCTTGCATGTTTGTGAGTGAAGATCCATTCATTCGATGAAAGCACTAAGAACAACAAATAGGGTTCTATGACGTAAAATACCTGCGGCCAGGAAAAGAACTTAATAAAACCCCCACAATTAAGCTTTCAACAAAATTTTGGGCATCCCACATCAGTTGATGAGTTCCTCCATAACTTCTCGAAGTAGCAAACAGTGCGTCAAAAGCGTCGTTAGAAAGCGAAGCAAACAATACGATAGTTTAAGGCCCAAAAGCAGGTCCAGTCTACTAACTGTCAAACGTCCGTTGACATAACCCTTTAGTAGGCGCATCAGAACTACAGCAAGCAGTAAGCAGCTATAGCTCCAGGATCATATACACCCGACTTCAAAAAAACGGAACTGACTTGCTGAACTGAAGTAGTGCAATCTCCAATTTGCTCCAGGGGTTGGAACCTCCAGACTGTGATACGAAGCAGGAAGTCCTGGTCGCATAGGCGAATATCACTACCTAAGAGTGACATAACGATTCGTGCCATGCTTTGCCCAATGATCTTTCAAATCTATAGGGCATCTGACATTAACCCCTTCGAGAGTGAGTTTCTCCACGAGCTTTTCAAAAGCCCCGGCACTCATTTTCCGTCCGGCCAACCGCGAACTTCTTTTCTTGGGGTTCATTGGAAGGGGGTACATGGAGATCATAGTGGTGCAGCAAGCAGACTGCCATCCTCCGTTGCCCCACTTGTAGCATGGCTGGTTAACACCAGTACATGAGCAGTAGGGTATGGAATTGCAAATGTTTTCATCGGCAACTTCCTCTGTAACAGAGCTGCCGCGCTCATTCTGGTCCAAATTTTCCCGCTGATAGATCAGGAGCTTCTGCTCAGGTGGCCTTTTCCTCGATGACAGAAAGCCTTGCTTGGTATCTTTGCCAATCTTCCTCTTCGAACGAAGGTCTCGCTGACTTTCCCTGACGTTTCCAGCCATGCTCTGCTTTTGAATGTACTCTGAACATATATTAGTGCGTCCTACAGCACTCTTCCACTGGCATGCAGCGGCCGACGCAAAATCCACACTAAACGGGCTACTGTCAACAACAGGGGGTTGAAGTGTCTTGCTGGTCACGGCGTTTGGAGAGCCATGCCTCGTCCACTCAGTAAACGTTGCAAACTTTCCTGCCCGCACGGCCCCCAAGGCGGCGACTGCTGCATCACGCTCGACAAGGGCGGAATCCCGCTCTGAGAACGCGAGATCACAACGCAAAAGAGCTGCATCTCTTTCCACACAAGCGGCTTTCTTCTCGGCAATGGCGCTATTCCTCTCGAGGATGGCTGCGTCGCGTTCAGCAATGGCTTTCACCAGTTTTAGGGCAGTTTGATCGCAAATCATTCTTCGCCGAACGCCAACTCTTCCCTCGTCATCCATAGAGTACGACAAATCGTCGAGGAAAGGACCTCTCGCTAATGAACTGCCCTGAGTCACTGGTGCAAACTTGCTCACAAAATCGGGAAGCCCCTCATTCCAGAAACTGTCTTGAGAAAAGCGTCGCTCTCTTAAGGTTTCTGCGTCCATGCCAGTCAAGACAAGTACTTGATAAGCTAAAAACAACCTCTCTCTTGTACAGAAAGGTGACACGGGGGCAAATCCTATTGCAGTGCGACTGAAGGTGATGGTGCGAAGCACAGCTTCAATCAAACAGCATAAAACGTTCATGACGATGAAACGAACAGGGCCCCCGGCATCTTGTCAAACCAACATTGACTTTGTTCTCAAATGACTGTAATAGAAAAGCTCCTCCGACTCACAAGAGTAGAACCTGCTATTTACTCACCCACAACATACTTCAATCCTGTAGACGTTGTCACCATCTCGTCAAAATAATCACTCCCATTAAGGCCAGATCGCAGGAACAAGATACTTAAGTCCAGCGAGCTATTTGTAGGGCAATTTCAGACAGTTTTAGCTCCGCTACGAGAAGGTCGATGCCTACGCCAGTTCAAAAGAGGTTGGATCGCTGACAGGCCATAACAACACACATGGGCTTGAAGTCCTGCGCGAATACCACAAACTAAGGCGAATAGCTCACTCCGCACGCTCTGAAACGATGTATCAAAGTACCAGAGGTTGGCGTAGGTTATCTGCCATCATGACTGTCGGGACTTTCTTTTCCACTTTTTCCGACTTTTCGAGTATTTTCAAACCGGACACAACGCCACTTTTTCACCAGGCTATTAGGGCTTTCATAGTGGGTAGCTATAATTTAATAAGAGTTGGTAGTAAGTCTCACTTCGTTCTGCGCTCAAGTATGATCACCTCCATGTAGGCGAAATGAGCTACTTGATGTGTTTCCTATCAAGGCCCAACAATGCGTTCTTCATATAAATATAAAGATTGTTGCTCCGCTGCAACTTCACGAAGAAGTATAAAGGCCTGTCATTTCTCATCCAGAAGATGTAATCTACGGTGACGTCTTCATGTGCAAAGCCGTTACGCTAATTTCTCGTAATCTACACACGGCAATCCAAGACTGTTGTCGACATTAAACTCTTTTTGATCGGACAAATAGTGATTAAATCTCTCAGAATAGAATTTCGTACAGCATGTTTACTGCTTCTTTCTCGAGCTTCACTAATTGCCTCTAAATAAATTTGAGAAGTTTATTGCGTTATGGTGGAATCTCTTATTCGTCCCTTCATCTAAGACGGTGTGCCATGATACATACCTTTCGGTTTAAACAATTTTTTCTAGCTTTCTAGCACTCTTACAAATTACACATTATCCATACCCTTGGATAAGCAGGAAGTGGAACGAGAGCTAAGATTTCCACGTCTACATAGGTTTATATACTTTTCAATTCTTTCTTTCATAGTTAAAAGGAGCTATGAACATCTACTTGGTCACTTACTTGAAAGAATTTGTGATAGCATATGTGTCAATAACAATGCAATAGTTACCATAGTCATAGTACGTAGGTACCCTTGTACAGGATAAGATAGAGCAGTTAGCGACCTTTGCACGGGATGTGACGTTAGTACTAAGAGCGCTGATAGTAGACATGTGGCTTAACGGGTTAAGTTCAATAACTAAGTCTACAGGTTTAGTTCTTGAAGATGAGTCTTGTAGAGTGTGTCTATGTTGAAGAGTAACTAATGGAGAACAATGAGCCTTTGAGTCACAAAGTGGGTTTGATGCAATTGAAAACTCATCTTTCAGTAATATTCAACACCCTCATGTCTTGTGCTACATTTGTGTTAATTTATGATTATGATTCTTGATGTGACAGGGATGTATGTTGTGATTGTATCTAAGACATGTATATCTATTTTGAAATCTTTCAAATTAAGTTTTACTTCTGTTAAAATCTATAGCTTACAATTAAATGAAGATTGGAGTTATACAAATAATGATTTGAAATGGAAATTATAATTTTATTGTAATGTGAAAACTGATTATATGCAAAACTATATACATAATGAAATAGAATTTCATGATCATAATTTTTAAAAATCTCATTAAGTATAACAATATACATCTGGCTTTTAAAAAATCAAATTTATTATCTATAAATGAAAATGTGTATAGTCAAATAAATAAATATAATTTATGTACTATATTCATTGACATAAGGTGTCGTGCGAATACATATCGCCATACATTTTACATCGCTGACATGCTACTCACACATAGGACACGAGAGCGTACACACTCAAATGTACCACAACTCACCACCTTACCTGGCGGTCAGGTCCCTCTGATTCCCAAGTAGCCCTATCTACAAGTACATGTTTTACACCTTCGTGGGTGCGCGAATCAGTAGGCTCGGTGCTATGTCGCCCCATCGTTAGTCGCCTATCTACAATTCATAACATGTGAAGATCAAGTCCTCTACCTCTCCGAAGTACAACGAGGACAAACCCATCGTCCAACCGAAACAACATCGATAGGTGGAGTCAGACACGACATGTGCCATCCCCTAGAACACCTATCACACACCAACATACGGGCCGCCTGACCAGCTGACCCACAGAGCATGCACCTCAAGTCAGCACGTACTATTGCTAAGCCTAGGTTCATAGTCCCATCCACATTTGGGAAGTGACATGGCGCACAATTGCGCACATGATCCTTCCAAACAACAACTTCACGATACTTCAACAAGAGAACTCCAGAAGTAACACCTTCCGCACTCGCAAGATAGTGCTTCCCGCCGTCACATCCAATGTTGTCGGTGCAGTCTGTTGTAGATAGATGTAGTCTCTCACATGGAACCTACGAATTGATGATCGATAACCTCCTCCCCAAATGATTATGTACCCAAACGTATCTCTATGTTGAGCAAGATTCTCAAACGCCGCAGGCATAACTCTCTGAAACAGCTCTGCACGTTTAGAATATACTTTCATCCACATGTTCGGGTCATCAAGGTTCACCATCTCGCTAGACTCACGACGAATTATTGTCGGCAGATTTAGATCTCGGCCGTATAACAAATAATATGGTGAGAAGGAAGTCAAGGATGCTTGACGACTGAACCCATGGCCAACCATGGTTACTGATATCCCTGTCCCCAAGATGCCCCTTCTGCAGGCCATACTTGCGCAACGCCTTCTTCACCATCGGTACAACACGTTCAGCCAAACCATCCGCCTCCGGATGATCTCGAAACGTGGTTAGATGATCAATTAGTGCCTTGTCACACAAGATCTGAAACTCTGTACCCTGATCGGTCAACACCTCAGTTGGGGCATCAAAGTGACTAAGCACCATGTTAAGGAAGGCATATGTTGTTCCCTCACTCGCCTTGTCAAGTAATGCCATCAACTCAATCCATTTGGAGAAATGTTCTACCATGACCAACACATACAGATGATGTCGGATAGTCAAAAGTAGTGGTCCAGCAAAATTCAAACTCCAACGGTAACCCAATCCTATGATGGGTAATGGATGTAACTCAGATGTCGGGGCATTGAACGATGCCCTCACCTAATCACAAACTATGCAACATGATACCAATTGCTATACCTAAGTATGCATACACCGCCACCAATACGGACCAAGGAGTAAGCTGTATGTACGCTTCACTCCAAAATGTCCCAAATCCTCATGAGCATGTCGTACAATGCGTGCTCTCTTAGGTGCATGCGGTTTTACTCGTACCCTTTCGTCCTCCCACACTCAAAGAACATGTGATCCCTCCAATCAGTATCTCTTCGACCGTTGGAGAACACAATCTCGCTCCTTGGCATCCACAGTGCCTGGCACCATACTGGTCCGTATAAACTCCACCACTAAGGCATCACTGTGAATATCTGTGGTGCCTATTTTTTTTGTTTCTCTTTAAAAATCAACAAAATTAAAAGATATTTTTCTAGAAAGTAGTTGTACAAGTTAGAATGAGTAGATTTTGAGAAGTTATGATAGGATTAGTTAGAATTTGTCTACGTCCGAAGATCTTCGGATCTTCAGCGCCGCCTTTTTGGGCAGTGCAAGAGCTGCGTCTTTGGCAAAGACATAGGATTCAATTTCAAATCGTGCAACGGGCCGGGAGACGTTGCACGCGTCGGGAGTTCTAGTGCGCGCGTGAGGAGGCAATGTTAGGGCTTCAAGTGTAAGGGCAGTACGAGGAGTCCTTGTGCCGACATTGCAATATCGTGCAAGAACGAGCGAGCGAGAGAAAGAGCAAAATCGACCAACCTTGCTGGTAGTGAAGACGCGAATCGAAGTCATGGGGCGGAAGAAGAGTGAAAAGGTGCGGAAATTGGTTCTCATGAAGGTGCCATAAGAAGAATTGCGACCCTTCAGACGCGAGGTGAGCGAGTTGCGACTTGAATTACTCTTTTGGAATTGGAATTGCGTCTCGACGAGTATCGGTAAGGAGATAATCAATAAGAACCAAACCGAGGGCGTGGAGCTTCGAAGTAATCCCATGCTATGAACAATTGAGCATTGGACAAAGGTGATGGGACCATGCGCAGGTAGCGACGGAGACCTTTTGTTTGAGAAGAGTAGCATCAAAGAATTCTCTTACGGACCACTCTTTAGTTCTGGGAGACAGGGAACTAACGAGTGGAAGACGGCGGATTACATAGATCCGAAGAGAAGGGCGATAGCGTTGGAAATTATGCACATCTTGCGACCAGCGCATACGACGTATGTGACGGCATGTTAGGTAGGGTTCTTCGAACGCATCTTGAAGGGACAAGAAGTACACTGAGCAAGGATCTTTCACGACCTTGTGTGGGCGAATGCGTCCGATCGGTGGACATGACCATTGGTCAATCATCTCATTTCCTTCCTGATGATTTTCTACCAAGGCATGGGGTTGCTTACGAGAGAGGAGGAGAAGCGATTTCCAAAGGAGCGGGAAATCTTGACGGCCGAGTCCAGCGAAGGGACCGAGGACAATACCCGTTGACCCTCCATTCTAGCACAGACGACAGCCCGAGGACCAGTTCAGGTGGAGGTTGTGCGGAGACGGGAAAAGCCGGAGAGACGAGTGGCGAAGAGAAGTAGAGTAGTGAGCGATGACGAGGGAGATTTGGCACTTGAAGTAAGAAGAACGGAAACGGAAGTAGATGTGATCAGGCAATCAAGAACTCGCGCAAGACCAAAGAAGAGGGCGAATCGAGCGTTAGTGGCAGCAGAAGTATCGGATAGCAGCGTGAAGAAGACAGTTGCCCCGATTGTGAGTACACCAAAGTCGCCGTGGGCGAGTCAACACAGCCTGTAGGAAGGGAAGGATCTTTGAGGGTATTTATCAAAGTTCCAGCAGAAGCACTGGCGGAACCTTTGAAGGAGGGAATGGAGATAGTTAGTCTGAATTCTTTGTCTTCGGAAAGAACACAGACTGCGGGGAGTGAAGGAATACCATATCTGAAGACAAGCGAGGAATTGGCAAAGGAGCTAACGTTAAGCGACAAAATATTGGAACAGATTGTTGCACAGGTAGGAGGGACGGTGGTAGATGCCCCAGACAGTGCACTGCCGTCATCTCCTACAGGAGAAATGAGGCCTGCAGAAGAGACGAAGACTTTGCAGGAGGAACCGAAGGAGTTAGTCGTTTCTTTCCCCGCCTTCTTGCAGGATA